CATGTCTAAAGCAGGAAGACAGGCAGTCTGAGCTGGGAACGGCTGACCTGAGTTGACACACTTTTTTCTAGCTCTTTAAGGACACAGTGACGCCTTTCTAAATGGAAATAACTTCAGGTTTGCCGTAGGAGCTGTAATCTTAGTGATATCTGGTCCATGCATTCCAGGCCCCCATGTCCCTTCTGGAATGGAGTGATGACTAGATGAAGTAGTTGAGGACCATGCTTGTCTTCTGTGCAATGAGACTGCAGAGCTCAAGTTTGGTTGGTATCAGTGAGCCAAAGTCTGCTGTGGCATTAGTGTGGTGGATTAGAAATGCTGTTATGCTGAAAGAAAGCAAGCAGGCAGCAGAAGTGTGAATGTGGCCAGCTTGCTGTGCAAGAGATTTATCTCATTTTGGTATTGGCAGCTGTATGTTGCAGGTCTGTGGTGCTTGGAGAAGAGTAAGCACCTGCAGGAGGTGGTTTGTTGTCTTCCCTTACCACCTTCATGGGATGTATTGAGTCGGATCAGTGTTGGGAGGCAATGATGTATGGCTGCTGAAGGAGCTAAGAATTTTGGTAGGAAAAAAAGATAATTCAGAGGTTTTCTTTTATCTCTTTTAATAGATAAAATGCTTGAAAATTGTCTCCCAACCCCTCATGCTGAATCTTTCATCCACAGCCTTCGGGAGCCTGCTCATAGACATGGTGCTGAATGCGGCCATCTCCCCATTTATAGCCCCTTCAATCGTGGGCCGCTGAGTTGTTGATCCTGTCATCTCCTAATATTCACTGTAATCAATTGCACTTCTTAAATATTTTCAAATAATGGAACGTATTGTGTTTTTACATCAGTTAGGATTGGATGATGCAAGATTCAAACTGCTTGCTTTGGGAGTCAAATTAACAAACTGAGACTGGATTTTGCTGGTGCTTTGGTTTTTTAGTGATTATTCGTGGCCCTAAAAGCAGGAAGATGTTTCTCTTTTTGAAAGGTTATTCTAAGCAGGACTGGAAGTCTGCCGTTGGACTAAGCCATGGAGAACATAAATCTTGCCAAGAATCATCATCAGAGCCCAGCGTTTCTCCACAACGCTGTGTTAGTGGGGAAGCAAAATAGCACATGCACCTGGGTCTGAGTTTTGGGGTCTAGTAGGGAAGGTTCCTCTGGCTGAAGCCGAGTTCCTGCATAGAGGCTTCAAACCAGCTGAGAATATTGCTGTAATTTGTGTTTCAGCACAGTGATGTGTGAGTAGAGCAGAGAACCTGCATGTAGCAGGAATACTCGAAGGTGGGCTAGGGAATAACAAGGGAAAATGAAGGCTATGATGTGGGAAGGAAAGCTTGGCTAAGAAAATGCAACATAAGTTATATTCTTGGTGCACGTTTTAAAAGTAGCTGATTGGCACCGTGCATTTTGAAGCTTTTGATCACTGATGCAGCAGTTAAATGAAGGGGGCATACAGCTGTGATTAATTATTGACAGAAGTCATTCCTTTTGTATGTATAGCCTGTAGTTGGACGTGAAGGTTGAGTTCACTTCAATTCTCAAGTTGGAAAGCAATGCAAACAAGGCACTTGATCAACTTCATACATGTGGTTCTGTTCATTATGCAAATCTATTCCAGTATACTTAAATCAGCATTTGGTGGTGGGCTTTTATTTAGCAGGATAAGATTGTGAACTACCCAATAAATGCTCAGTGTTGTGCAGTTGGCTGCGTCCAATGGTTCATGCTGTAGTTTAGTCTTAGTTAAAAAAAAAATAAAAAATAAATTTAAAAAATCCCCCACCCCCAAATAGCCTCTGGAAGGGAAAAAGAGCAAAACCTCAGGCTTGTTTGTCTTGTTCTATCTGCAGGTATTTGACCTTTTCACCTTAACTTCCATGGGTTTGGGGATTAACTCAGAGTAAATCACTACTGTGAGGCATTTGTTCTAAAGGAAAATTCGTTAGCTTGGTTCATCAGCATTCATACAAATATGGCACATTAATCTCTTTTTTGCTAAAGCCAGATACTCCTTCCTGACTTGTTCTTTTTTTTTTAACTGTAATTCATTATTCCTTGTAAAAATGCCACTGTAAATCACACTTTGTGAGTCTACCCCTCAGCTTGACATGTCGGCTTATTTGCAGGCCTCTGCAGGAGCAGTTGTGGGGATCTGCTTGCTTTTTCTAATCATATGTGGAGCTAAAATACAATGCTGCTTTTTGCCAAAGCTTGTTGACGTTTGTTTCAGAATCCACTTTTTCTGTAAAGACAGGCATAATATTTGCCTGAGATAGGTTTTCTCTGATACCTGAGATTCTGGAGGTCACAGAACCCCCTTGTGTTGTACAGGTTTGGCTAGTTCTTCTTGCTGAGCTGCTGCAGTCTTGCACGTGAAATGGTGAACTTCGTGGGTACGAATGGAGAAAGTAAGAATGCATACTCAGCTATGGGGGAAAGGGGCAACAGGCATGTCATCCTTCATCCCTGCCAAAAAGTTGGCTTGCTAAACACAGGGGAAGAAACACACCAATTTCTGTGTGAAGTCCTTTGAATCTATTGAGCCGTGTTACCATCCAGTCCGTGAGCAGTAGTTTGTAGGAGAGATCCTCCTGGTTTGTCAGGCTATCTCATAAACTGCAAACATCATCCTTCAGTGAATATATCTTAAGAGGTGGTCTGAGCTTAACTTTTATTTAATCTTAGTTCTAAAAGGTGGAGGTGAGTTAGATGTTGAGTGACTCTGAGACCAGTGTGACAAATTAGATGTGTAGATCTGAAATTGACTGCATCCATCCAGCCTGGCCCTGAGTGCCTCCAGGGATGCAGCACCTTCTCTGGGCGGCAGTGCCAGGCCCTCACAACGTGCTCTATAGAGAGGTCCATGTTGCATCTGACCTGGCAGGAATATTTACTTGTTTCTAGCTTCCAAATTGTGTTCTGTATGCCGGAAAATAGGACTCGAGGCACATACCTCCCCTGACACACATGGAAGGACGCACATGACTCAGGATGTCATCAAACTAAATTGCCAGCAGCCTGCATGAACAACATGTTATTTTCTAAATATCGTAATTCTTACTGCAGTATCTGCTCTTGGGCTGTGCTGCAGTAACAGGATACTGCCAGAGCTGGATCTTTGGCCTGACCCCCTACAGCCTTTTTATATGCTAATGTGGTAGTTTCCAAGCAATGCAGTAAATATGTATTCCAGCTGTACCAAATTACTTAAAAGCGAGGAATGTTTTGGAGTAGGCTGTTTTGTGATGGCTCTTGAGACTTGCATTTATTTCTCTCCATCCAGCCTCTCAAAGCTCTGTTCCCTTGTTACCCTGTCCTCATCTGGGCCTGCAGTTTGGTCTGAGGCTGAGATGAGATCATGTTTGACGAATGCTCACCTACTGCTTGATACAAATAGCTCATTCTGAGTTCAAGATGAGGTGATAACTACAATGTGCTGTTCATTTTTCACCCTGTCATGCTGCTTCAACACATTGCTAACCCGATAATTGAAACCATTGTGTTTAAACTCAGAAATGCTTGGTTTGCTTAACCAAAATGTGCTTGGGAGTTGGACTAGATGATCTTTAAAGGTCCTTTCCAACTTAAATGATTCTGTGATACTTAGTAATAATTGGCGTTCTTCCTTTCGTAACCGAAGCTTTGTTGTCCTAAATGATATGAAGGATAAAACAGTAACTATTAAAGCTTGCTTTAATAGTTGAAGCAGTATCTGCAAGCATCGTGTTGCAGTGATGCATTAAGGATGGGGAAAGCTTCCAAGTTCACATCAAATGCATCTTTGTCATATTGAGCAAGAGTAACGTGTATAGTGAGCAACGGAGATGTGATGCGAAGTACAGGTTTGCTTTGAGATTACTTCTATTTAAGCAGTGGGAAAGTTTGCTTGCAACTCACGGTTTCTTAAACCAGTAAGGATTCCATTTAGGGTAAAAAGTTGCTTCCAGATACTCCATGTTCTGGATTCAGAGGGAGAATGCAATTGCCTTCTTCTGCAGGTTGGTGTATCAGTCCCAAAATAGCTGTGTTCAAAGCTTTTGCATGCTTATGGATAATGTAGGCAGGCATAACTTTTCACCTGTTATTTCTTGTAACGCCGAGAATTGCATCTGTTACACTGGTACTTCTTCAGTGCTCTTTAATTACTGTAGAGTTGAATCTAATCTGCTGGGTGGGAGTAGTCTGTGACACACAGTAATGTAATCAGTTTTGCATTGCTTTGGAAAATGTTAACTCATCTTTCAGAATAATGCTGCTTGAATTCCGAACTGAAAGGCGTTTATGTTTTTGCCTTCAGTTGTCTGGGCCTTTACAGAAGGAACAAAATGAGAACAACTTTTGGTTGTTGAAGAGCCTTCTTTCTCTCTTTTGTGTGTGAGAACCTCAGTGAGGTGCAGCACTGACTTTCTTTTGGGATCAGTGATGGAACTTCACTTGCTGATTTACCAGAAATCAGTTCTTTCTGCCCTAACAGATATAGTTAGTGTTGTAGCAAATGTCTCTATGCGTTATTGAAGTCTAGATGGCTCTTCTTAAGTGCAATCCTTAGTGAATTTTTCAGATCTTTTTCCGATCTTTTGTCTCACTGACCACAAGTCGTAATCTGATCACTGATGGTGATTCATCGTTCATTCAGCTGCTGTTGATGTAGAACATGAAGAGCCATCCAAGGCTTTCCTTGTAGGGGAAAACTTGTAGCATGGTGGATGTGAAGCAGCTGGACTAGGTACACACTGGGAGATCCTTTCTGTAACACAGGACTGGAGTTAGCACTGGTCGTCTTCATTCCAACTGAGGTGGTACAGCTGGACTTGCTGCAGGCAGTGCATCCATTCTGCATAACATTTAGTTGCAGATTCTTGAGGTTTTGTATGATTTCTCCAAACTCAATGTGTTGGCCTATCAGTCTTGTGATCTCTGGAATGTCCAAGGCCTTAATGTGGAATTTGGGGTGGCAGACCATTAAATGTCACTGCACTGACTGGGTGACTGTTTTTCTGCTTTTACAGATGCCTTTGTAAATAGCCAGGAATGGACACTAAGCCGATCCGTACCAGAGCTGAAAGTGGTGAGTTTTGTATTTACTTCTTTCTCTGAAAACCATTCTGAAAATGCTGTGCAGGAGTGAAAAGTCTTCTGAGGTTCATTAAATTTACCATAAACATAGAAGGTGATTTTAAGAAGTGAAGTATTTGCTTCAAAATAAAACTCTGAAGCGAATGTGTTTTTTTGGTTCAGCTAGCATGCTTCAAAGATCCACTTGTGTGTTTTATTTCTGTTTGAACTTATGTGCCTACTAGCACCAGCTTCGTGGTGTGATCTTCTGGACAGGGAGGTCTTACACTTCTATAAGAGAGCGAACTGAATGCTAGCAGGTGATATCTAAAGCTCCTTTTATCTTGCTTGCACAATTTCTTCAAGGACCAAATGCCTTCTCTCCCTGTCTTAAAGGAACTTAAAAATAAATGTTCTGTCTGGTGGTTTGTTTGCTTATATTTCTCAAAGCTTTTTATTATACTTAATGAAAAGAGAAATATTTGGGACTTTCATTTAAGGAATCAAAAACGTTTTAGTTAAAAGAGTGAAGAATGATTCAATAGCTGCTTAAGACAGTTTTTCCTTTGGCTGAGCAGTTTCACAAATAAATGGATGTAAAGGCAAAAGAACACAGAAAATTGGGGGAATTTCCCGAATTTCCTTTTTAAAGTTGTAAACACGGAGGCTGGAGATGAAGGCTGAAATCTTCTACTTGTTGACATCAAACATCACTGTGATGTTTACCCTATGAAAGTCCAGATTTAATTAAATACGTTGAATTTCTCAGTCTATAAAAAGTGCTATGGTATTTCAGATACTGTAGTTGGTAATACCACAGACACCTGTGATCTGCTTCGGATGGTCTTAGGGCTGGATCAGTTTGTGCTTGGATCACTCCTGTCTTGTTTTAAATGCCTGAGCTGCTCCCACTTAAGCATCTGCTTGCCGAGTGGCAAAGTGAATTGGACAAAAACACATCAATTCAAGAATGGACAGCTGGAGCTATGCTTCATTAGTCCAGCTCTCACATGGCAAATTTCTCTTTCCAAATTGGAATTGATGATAATGCTTATGGAGAAAGCTTAGGTTAAAGTTAACATGACAAATGCCCTAGCTTGCAATGGCATTCCAATGGAAACAGCTTCCTCCCGCCTGGAGTTACATTCCTGTTTTAATTCCGCTGGTGCACAGGGTGAGCAGAAGAGAATTGGTTGGTGCATAAAACTCTGCTATTAGAAGACAGTTATCTCCTAAAATATCTGGCAGAAGAAAATAAAAAGAATTTAGGACTGAGAAGTGTTGGATGGAGTCCAGCGCACGGTGGTAATAGCTAGTTTATGCTGTGCAGGATCTGCAGAGAGTTTCTTTGTTCATCCCACCCCCTTCCTGGCCCTGCCAATTCCTAACACCTGGAAATAAACTTGTGGCTTGCAGGTGAGTCCAAAGCTGTAGTTCCTGTGCTATAATACAGAATGCAAACAATCTCGGAGCATCGGAGTCTTGGTATCACAAGAACTAACTGTGCCCTAAGGCTGCGTTGTGTGAATGCTTTCATCTTGAATCTCTTGTCCCAACGTTGTGTAAGCAGCCATATGAAAATAAACTGCTATGCAGCTGCTGTAGAGAATTGATTTTCAGTGGTCAGCATGCGTGAGCCTCAAGATCGCTGTCTGAGGCTTTAGTTTGTGTAATACTGATAAAAGCAGAACTCTTACCGTTGCAGAGATGATAATTTGATTATACTGCAGCAAATTATTGAAGCTAATTGCACCAACGGGGGCTGTGAACTTGTGCTCTGGCAGAAAGGGCAAACTAGGTCTGAAGTCTGCTCCCCCTTTCCTGTAAATCTGCCCTTGGGAAGGAGGTCTGCGTAGTGAGTCCAGAGTAATCATCAGCTCCTGTCTGTGTGAGAGGAATTAAAAGGCAGTATTGAAGCCTGACTGCACTCTTCTGCTGCAGCACTGTCACTGTGTTGTGTCTGTGCTGGGCATGTCAGAGAGGTGTGAGAAGTGTTTGCTCCCATCAGCATTGAATGCAGCAGTGCAGATGGGGAGATGAGTCTAAATGCTGCTGGTTTAAGAAGGAGCCCCTGCTGGCGTGGGCTGTGCTCTGTAGGAAGAGATGGTCTGGGGCTTGCTGGGAGAGGTTGCCTACTGCAGTGTCTGGGCAGTCCTTACATTGGAGTTGACATTTCATTTCTGTAGCAGGTGGTTATACCTTCAGGATCTATGGACGTTTAAAGGGAGCACAAATTGAGTCTAGAGGGGCAGGGAAAATGCAGGATTGAGGAAAAAAGGCTCATAAAAATAACACAAGAATATGAACAAAAAAGCGAATGGGTGGATATGTTTTGTGACATATTTTTCAGAAAGAATAACGGTCCTCCCTTCTGTCTCCCCTTCCCCTTCTAATATGTATCAGGCTGGATTTCTTTCATGTGTTATATTTGTTTCTGCTAGCCAAATACTGCAACAGAACTGATTGTGAGACTTCTGTTATTGTCAGCAGTGTGTTAGCTGGCTGGGTGAGACGTGTCAATTTCTGGAGCATCGCTGATGTTCCTGGATCCTGTTTATGGAGCTCTAAAGTAAGCACCCGGGTTTTCTGCAGGCTGTAGCAATCTGCATGGCGTGAGTGGCTGTGCTGCTCAGTGCTGTCAGGCCTCTTCAGCCTCTTCAGGGGGAAAAAAAATCCAAACCTGCTGTATTTTTGTTCTGATGTCTGAGGTGAGTTTGTGTGACTCTAACAGTCAAATGGATTCACAGATGCCTTGTGGCTACACTGGCTACAAGGCAGGTCAGAAGTAGCTTCAGTATGCCATTTCCAAAGGTCTAGAGCTTCTTGTTCTAAAGTGAAAACACAAAACACTCCTTGCTATCATGATTTTCCTAGCAAAACCATGCAGAATTTGTGTTCTTTCCAGTTCTTCAGAAGTTGTGTTACTCAACAAGAGCTTTAGCCTGACTGTTTATCTGCAGAGGAGGCAATGTAAGTAGTATGTCTGATCTGCTGACTTAGAGATGGGGTTTGGGGTTTGATTGCCATTTTTGGTTTGTTCTGTTGTGATACAAAGCTAATGGGGAGGGAGAGGGGGAAGCTTGCATTGAGAATACGAAGTCAGCTTCTTCTAAGAAGTGAAGCTACTGCTTCAGTGAATATAGCATTCTGGTCAGCCACTTGCTGAAGACAACAGACTAACCAGCAATAACAAACTAGCAAGCAGCTTAATTGCTTCTTGGTTTTTGGTGTTGATCTTTAAGTTGCTTAGGAGACTGAAACTGTCTCATACCCCAAGTCTTGATTTGCTTAAATCAAGAGACCGTCTTTCTCAGCTCTTCTACAACCTTTGATTTTAGCAGGTAAGCGTGGGCATCTTGCAGGCTTTGCAGGTCCGACCTGCTTGTGGAGCAGATCATGTGGAGCATACCAATAATTAGGAATTTTGAGGTATCAGCTGTATCCTCTTCTTGTCGGCATTTATCCTCCCATGTGATGAGATTTACAGGCAGATGAAGTCATGCCCCTGTAGAATTTAGCTTCCTTCACTAAAGTTTACTGGCCACTTTTTCTTTTCTACGAGGTTTCAAAAGTACATCTTAGGACAAGGGGATCCTCTGTAATGCAGAATAGTGATGTTCCAGGTAAACAATGTTGTTACAGCCTGGATTTAAGCCAGCCTGTGAGTTGGGAGCTTCAGTGAAAATGCTCTTAGCATGTGTACATGCATGAAGTCAGGGTTTCAGGGATTATTTTGGAATTTCAGCAGTGAAAGCTGGCAGTGTTGCAGTTGCTCACGTAATGTATAATTCGCTGGAATAAGTTGTTCCTTAGCCTTGAAGGGGAAGGTAGATCTGATAAAAGGCTTTGTCATGGCCAGATGTGAATGCAACTCTGCTTCGTTCCCAGAGAGCGTTGCTCCACGGAAGCAGCATCTGAGAATGCAGGGTTAGTCATCTGCAGAGGTGGCATTTGCACTGCTTTTTAGATGTAGGCATTTGGCATACGTTTGCATGGCTTGCAATTTCTTAGATGTAAATTAAATTAAAAACATCCAGTCTGCTCATTTAAACGCTCTTCTAAGTCAGCTCAAAGCCCGGCAGGCAGACGTCCATTGTCCAGAGCTGTGGATTCCTTTTCATTTTGGTGGGGCTGCTCCTTGGTACCAGCTGCACTTACGGTGGGATTCTTGTGCCACATTTCTTCCTGTGCCTCTTTTTTTTATTACAGTCCATTTTCTACCTGTTCAAGCTCTTTTTCTCTAGCTCAGAGTGTGAAGCTTCCTATAGTATTAGGTCAGAATGGGGATCTGGTTCTTCCCTCTCCTTTTCTCACCCCCCAACTTAGATCATGTGTTTCTCTTGTTTGCCATTACTTCTGAAATCCTTTGGGATTCCTGGTTGTTGTTCTTCACTGTAGCCCATACCATTCATTACATTTAAAGCTTGTGCTATCACAAGTAGTGCAAAATTGTCTTCCACTTGCTCTCTGCCTCAGCTCCTGCTTTATCTGAGCTGACCTTTCATGTCAGCTGTGGAGTGATGGACATCCTCCACACTACTCTTTTATTAGTCTTAATTGAAGGTTGATCACAGCAGTAAAGAATAAATGATGGTCTTTGCTGCTCCCTCCCCAACCTACAGACTCTGAGGCTGTCATTGGGTCATTTTAAGGTGACATCGCCCTGTTGGTTTTAGCAGTTTCTAATGAGGAGGATAGCTTCTCACCAATTAGGATTAAGAAAGTGAAACAGAGACTGTGTGTTAATGTGTAACCTGTTCATCTTGCCTGTATTGAGCAACCACAAGCAGATCAACAGATCACAGATCACAGAATCACCCGGGTTGGAAGGGACCTCAAGGATCATGTAGTTCCAACCCCCCTGCCTAGCAGGGCCACCAAACACACACATAACACCAAACAGAGAGTTGGTCCTGTCTGCAGGGAGCTTCTCTCAGACTTTTGCTTAGGGTCAAGATAGACAAGTAGGGTAGAGCAAGACTGGGTTTGTTTAAAAGAGGAAATTAGTTCCCTTCTTCTCTCTCAAAAGCTGAGGATGTGCCATGTCTGCAGAATTCTGTTTCATAGGGAGAGGTGAATAAGTGGGGGGATGATAGCTGAGCAAGAACAAAAGGCACTTCTGAAACACAAAGGAAATGCATTCTGCAGACCCACCTGCCCCCAACTGTGCAGAGCAGGATGACCAGGCTTGTATCTGCCTTGCTGTGTGTATCATTGCACTTCTGGCTGATGGTCAGGCCAGGGACAAAGCAGCAGCAGTCGTTTTGGTGGGACACGTATGCTTTTAGATGTCCTTACGTTAGATTGCCAGGCATTGCCTAAAAGACATTTGATGTGGCACTTGGGGGTATGGCTTAGTGATGGGACTGGGCAGGTCGTGTTGATGGTGGGATTCCATGATGTTTGATGGTCTTCTCCAACCTAAATAATGCTGTGTCTCTATGCTGTGCTTTGTTTGAGTTGTAAGCTGTGTTAAGATTTTACTTAAACATACTGCTTTGTCTTGGAGTTGATTGCAGTTGAACATTTCTCCTTTTTTCCCCAGGGGATCGTAGGAAACCTAGCTAGTGGCAAGTCTGCACTTGTGCACCGCTATCTGACTGGCACCTATGTCCAGGAGGAATCACCCGAAGGTATGTGGATGTGCAAATCCTTTTTCTTCCCAGACTGCATCTTTATTCATTTTTAATCATGCAAAAATGAATCAGTTAAGAATCCAGTTTGCTTTTTTCCACTGTTCACTGAGAATGTCCCTTTATGGTTCTCCAACCTGAAATAAGTAGGTGAAATAAGTTAATTTTACCTTTTTTTGTAACCTGTTAGTACCCCTCAATACTTTTGCATCAGTTATTTGTCCATATGGGAATCTGTAGCCTTGTACTGAGTAGAGTTTACTGCCCTGGGTAGTGCTCTTAGATGCCAGAGTTACTGTATCTGGTGTTTGATTTCTACAGACCTGGGCCCCTCACCTTGGGAAAGTAAAAAATGTAACAAGCTAAATTAAAGATGTAACTTTTTCCTTGTTTAATATATTAAATCTTTGGATTTGAAGGTTTAAAAAGAGGGGAAAAAGGAAACCCCTGAAACTTCTTGTTATGCCACAGAATATTAATTAGTACCTGAAAAGTAGTGTTTAGCAATAATCCTCGTCTGTAGTTTGAAATCATAAATATCGTAATACCTTACAGTAGTGTCGTACGCTAAATACTTTTACAATTTTCTTTATTTATTCTCCTTATGAACTTTTAAAATCCATCTCTGAGACACTGAATTTCTGGTTCCTTCTTTTCCTTACTGGCTGTTCCATTCTTTGCAGATATGGATGCAGGTAACTATACATTGTCTTCATGGCAGCTCTTGTTTCGGAGAGACAGAAGGCAGTTTTTGTACCGTAGCATTTTCCCTTTGTTTTGTGTATCATTTTGTTTTCTTTTGATTTCAAGTCTTCAGTACATCTCACTGTTTTTGTCCCTTGCTGTAGTTGTCTTCTCAGCAGTAGTAGGTAGCTTCATGCATCTCTGATAACATCTGTTTTGAATTAACTCTTACCAAAGGTAGCAATTAAGCGTTTTGCTCCATTTTCTAACAGTCTCTAATTGTAGTAAAAATGGGAGAGGGAAAAGGAGTGGCTGACTGACAGGGCTGCTGTTGTGCCATCGCAGGGACAGCGATAGAGGCTGGTTTGTAACCTTGCCTTACACGTTTTTGCTAGGATGGATGAGTGATAATTCAGCCTTGCAACAGAGCTGCGTTTCGGTGACATTGAGGCTTGCTGCTTTTAGATGCTGATAGAGAGAAACGTGCAGCATGTAGGTCTGCTAACAGCAAGCATTCATAGAATAATGAGCCATCTCTGCTTTTTTTTTTTTTTTACTCATTTCACAAGCAGAAAGAGAAGAAAATCTTGCAAGATGTAACTGCATTGATGAATCACAGGGGTTAGCACTCTTCTCTTGGACTATGAATGTTTTAGGCAGCGTTCCTTGAGAGCATTGCCAGCTGTCCTCTTTGTCTTGAAGGGTTTTTATATGCAGTGCTTGAGTGACTGTTGGGGCTGTTTCTCCCGAAAGGATTAGGTTTCAAAAGCACTGTCAAATCATTTCTTTGCACATAAGTGTAGCTGACAAGCCTCGCTAATGACACCATTTCATTAACAGCAGAAAAACTAAAATAATTAAAGGTCTCTAATTCACCTTGTAAGCAACAGGGTCAAGATTTCAAATCGAGTTAGCATTAAAGAAAAACATACAGTTTCTCCTTTGTAAACATTAAAAATGATTTGTTAAAGTGTTCTATTGCTGTCTTACCTAGTCATAAGTCCATACAATCAGTGCAGTCCTTCTATTTATCCTTCTCTGTGGTCTTTATAACATGTTGGTTTGTTGAATTGGTTAAAAAAATATGATGTATACCAGGCATTAAAGTCTCAGCTACCTGACTGGTTATGAGAGAAAGTTAAATGACTGGCTGGATTACAAACAGCAAAACATATCAGGCATCATACAAGTGGTATCCAATTAGTAAAGTGATTGATGCATACTCGGTGTGAAAATGATGATTACAGCAAGGGACCTCTATCTCTGCTATCCTTTGCCTTCTCAATTGCTACAATTACTCTGAAACCTGTCCTAAATTAGACGAGTGCCAGGTCTCCCCTAGGCTTTTAAGGTAGCTTCAACATTCCAGTCAGTGGGCGCTCAGTATGTAAAGATGGGTTCATGATTCCTTCAGCTCTTTTGCTGCCCCAAACCTCCCCACCAACAGGAGGAGCGATGCAACATCATGGAGCTGTGTTCTCTCCTTGTTTAGCTTCACTTTTACTTTTGTTTGGAATTGATTTCAGTCTCTAGTGTAACATGAAAACAGTTTTTCTCAAAGTAAATCTTAGGGAGAAATTTGACTTTTAGATTCCTTGTATGTTTAATATGGATGTAACTATGTTGCTGCGAGGCAGCTTTTTAAGTCAGATGTATTTTGTAAGAGAACGAATGATGTGTTGCTCTACAGCTTGTTTTTTCAGTGTCCATCTGTTTCTTCCTTCCCGTTTCCTTTAATGGTAGCCTGTTTTAGTTCCTGTTTGTATTGGTAGGATGGGTTGGAAGTTCTTCATTAGGTACTGTGCCAGTTGGCATATGGTGATTGCAGTGACGCTGCAGCGCACGTGTTTGGTTTTCTTGTGCAACTTCTTAATTAATTTAATTAATGATGTTTTAAAAGCTCCAAGCGAGATAGATGGGCTGCAGTGGGACAGGCTGCTCCACCGTAGCTGCAGGAAGTTCTGTTTTGTGCCTGGAGCACCTCCTGCCATCCTTCTCACTGACCTTGGGGGCTGCAGGGCTGCTTCTCTCACATTTCTCACTCCTCCTGTGAGCAATTAAGTTTTGAACTTGACGAATCTCTTTAAGCTCAAATCAATGGCTGTTTTTATCTGGTTAATTTTTTTCCAGCTATGTAGGAATCTGGAGGCCATATTTACTAAACAACCTGATTTATATTCCACATTTAACAGAGGAGGATGCGTCCTAGGCTAAGCTGTGTTTGTTCCTGGTGAGCAAGCCAACTGAAATGTAAATGAAAAGCCATGTCATTTGCTGTCAGAGTGTGTGCTTGTGTGCTTTTTGTGAAGAGAAAACGTCGTGCAGTTTGTGAGAAGAAACACTTGCAGTTTACTGGAATTCCTTAAAATCATCATCATGCTCGTCCTTACACATGTAGCCTATATGGTGAGACTTGGCAAGAATTCCACGTGTGAATTTGATGGCAGAGTCCTGTTCCTTTCAAGTAACTGGGGACTGCATCCATTAGAATTCCCAGGTTGGAAACATAGTGAAGCTGCAGTGTTTTATGTTGAGTTCAAATCCTTGTTGCGGTGTTTCACAAGGTTTACACAGCACTCAGGGCAGCCAGAGCTATCAGAGTCCTTTTTCATCTCTCCATCACCGACCCTATCACTGACAGTGATAGCTTTAGACGTGGATTTCAAGATTGTCTCCTTCCCGTTCTTTTCCTGTATTTCATTTATCAGCTAATTATTTTTGTTTGGCGTTTCATGCTGACAGCCAGAGACACAATAACACTTGTCTTTTTTGATGATTTTTAAGTATTGCTGCACATGGCTCTCTTGGGCCTTTGGAGCCTTTCAGGCTTAGCATACAAGAGTGTGTTTATGTATTCTGAGATCTCCGTTCCATAGCCCTCCTCTTCGTCCCCCTGAGACGAGCAGTGTGGTTTAGAGACTCCTTTGAAAAGCTCTGTTCCGGCAGGCTGCTCAGCTGCTGCTTTAAGCCTTACACAAATAAGGAACGATGGTGATTTAAGGAAGAGGTTAGTGTTTGTTCTTTTCCTGGGGAGAAGATGCTGAGGAAGCGGTTTCCTGGAAGGGACTTCCTTTTTAGGCTGTGTGCCTTGAGGACAGGGTGATCTCTGAGATGATGTCTTTCATGCACTGCAGCCTGACGACTCAAAAGGTTCTGATGACTTATGTCTGAGGGGTTTGTGCCCTTGTAATAACAGGCTTCTCTCAAAGTTCCTTCCCAGGTAAAAACTGGAATTTAGATTTATAGCTGCCGTTGTAACTTCAGGCTCTTAATAACAGTAGAAGTGGCTATTAGGCAGAAGTCAGCTTGCAGTGGCTGCTGCTGGAAGAAGGGGCTGTCTTTCTTCTTCCTTGTTAAATTTGGATTCTGGATGTAATCTTTAAACCACAGCCCAACGTTTAGCTCTTAAAGCAAAATACAAACTTTGCAAACTGCTGCTTCTTTTTTCCAGCTTGTATTCTTTTTCTTATTTGGAACATTCTGGGAGACAATTAAACAACAAAAAAACCCAAACCTTAGACCAGAGATGATGATTGGTGGCTTGGCCAGGTTTTCTTAGCACATCTCACTGTTTTGTTTCTTTATTGAGTTCAGACGTATAGTAGCATGATCTAATTTTAGTTTCAGGGTTTTACTTCTTACTGTTTTTACACATGCACTATTTGCATTGCAGTGCTGTAGTGAAAGGACAGCTGTCAAGGAAGCTGGCTGTAGCCCACGTATAAAAAGCCAAGGAGCGCTGAGGAAGGACAGAAACCAAACCAACAACAACAATTAAACTTGCACACAGAAACTTTGAGCAGATGCTGGCTGGAGATAATTTGTTAGATTGAAAAGTAGTGCCTGAATATTTGGTTATTAATGCCTGAATTCAGACTGGTGTCTGAAAGGTGGAAGGTACAGCAGGCTCGTTTAATTGGTAAGGAATTGCAGTAAAGGAGGGCTAAGTTACTTTAAGTTGTGGGGCTTACATTTGGAAAGTGGTATTTTGGGTGTACTTACAATGAGAAAAAAAAGTGCTTGATGGAAACAGGTAGGTAGGAGTGTGCTAAAGCAGTGTTACATCTGCTCAAAGAAGTTGATTGCTGCTTTTTGTCATTTGTCTCCAGCAGGCTTGAAAAAAACAGATTTTTAAAATTAGATTTGCAGCATCTATGCAATTAGTGGGTGTGTTGTGTTCAAGTGACTGTCTGCACCTGCTGTCAATGAAGTAAAACCAAAGAAATCAAAAGCAGAGACTTTCGGAGAAGCCTGGCTTTAAGTAGAAATGGAACCATTAGCTTAATCATACCCATATAGATGTATAGGTATCTTCT